CTACGTTTGTTCCATCTTCCAGGAGTCTTTGATCTGGAGCATGTGTTTCACATTCTGTGTTTGTACCACTTGCTAAGCTCACTTAATTAGAAGGAATAAAATCATTCTGTTGAGACTCAAAACTAAGTTTCTTCTATTTGTGTTAACAATTCCAGGCTTTCCATAGCAGGTACAACTTTAGCAATGTTCTGTGGCACTCCATTATCTTCAATAATAACGTCACCTTCGTCATTGTCTTCGTCCTTTGGCTCAAAGTTTGGTTCAATCTGCTGTGAATAGCCAAAAAGACTATTATCAGCAGATTGACTGGAGCTGCCAGAAATCTGATTGTTCCCAGCAACATCATTCTCCTGGTTTGCTGGTCTCACTGTTATGATGAGGTTGCTGCCGTTAGCAATCATCATGTCTGTTACTTGTTTGAGATGGATGCTTCACTGAAACTTCTGTACCATCAACTTCTAAAATTTCACCAGTTACAGTTCATAGTCCTGTGCTTGTGAGCAAGATCTCCTGTGACAGCCAGCTTATAAAGATCCTGGGATGTTCTCTCAGCTATGTGGTATCTCCCTTAGGCTGAAAGCATCCCCAATATAGAATCCTAGGGAATGTTTAGTGCCGTGTTTGGGATGAACCCTGCAATGAGTTTGCAGGAAAACACCCACATCTGTAATTGAAGACACTGGTCTGAAGTCTTGGGATATACCAACAAGTGGATATGGCTTCTTTCTGTGGTTGACAAACATTTTTCTTCTCTAATAGTGTGTCTGTGCCAATGGCACTGTTGCCTGCTTCTTTCTGTTTCTTCCTTCATTTGTATAAAAATCTAAGCAGGGGGTTGGCTGTTTAAACAGCTTTATGATAATAATCATCATTTATAGGTTGTAAGTCTCCCTGAAGGTCTGTGTAGCCTACTAAAATGCCGACATTGGTTATCTTATGAACATATTGCAGTAATCCATAAAAGTCAAAATCTCTTTCCATGGAAAACCAACATACTTCAACGCCAAACCTACTCTTCACCTCCCCCCAGGATGCCCCTGCACTGCTGTCCGCCCATGCCACTAGCCATGGTGGCCACAGTTCACGCTGAGTGCAGGGCTGCCCCTCGGGAACCCAAGTAGATGTCCCATGTGCCCTCAGCCCAGGTACCCACAACCCCCACAACTTTGGGGACAGCTTGGATTTGGTTGCGGTAGGTGGGAATGTGGCTCCCTCCCTCTTAGGGAGTGAGAGCCATGCGCCATCCACCTCATTGTCCCTTTCAGGGAGGGGAGAGGGGAAAGGATACCACAACCTAGTGTCTTGACCGGGCGAACAGTGCCAACTTGAGAGATTTTAGTTGACTGATAATATTACTGAAGACGTTTTAGAGAAAAAGATCCCCTTTAATCTTAACATTTTTCTGATGTATTGAATATTACTTTCTGAGTCTTATCCGTGAGTCTGTTTTCATGTAGTAGCGGTCTGGTGTACATGATACCTTTTTCCTTGTTAAAATAACCTTTATTCTACGTGTTTGAAAACCTTAATAACAAAAAGGCTGGGAGACATAGAAACTTTTGTGTTGTGTGCAGATACTAGATAGGTGGGTTTTCTGCATTTGTCTCTGCTCCCCATCCCCCATTCCCACATTCTGGCTAGTTAGCAGTTAACTTCCTCTCCTTGGCACCTGTGGCAGCTCTCTACATAGTTGACTGGGCTAAATGTGTGTATGTACATGTATATTTTAAATCCTTACACCATATCGACATATTAAAGACTTCCAAACCCCTCATATAAACATGTGCCATTGACTAGACATCGTGGCTCATGGCTGTAATCCTAGCACTTTTGGAGGCCAAGGCAGGAGGATTACTTGAGTCCAGGAGGTCGAGGCTATTGTGAGCCATGATCATGTCGTGGCACTCCAGCCTGGGTGACAGAGCGAGACCCCCCAAAAATAAATAAAATAAACATGCACCATTGTTTACTGGTCCTTCTTGTGCCATTGTTGGCTTCCATAGTGTTATTTTTCCCAACCATTGTTTCCTTCAAGATTCCTAACCCCAAAACTTTCTTTGACATCTTTCTCTTTCCATGTCTTCTTGCCTTTCTGCTTATGTAGTACCGAACCTAAATGTGCCTTAAGTTATCTCAGCATACTTTATTGCACTCAGACCTTTACACATCCAAAGTCTTTTTGTCACCCTTCTCCAATATTCATACCCCATTTTCTTTTATATTCATAATTCCTGTTCTATATACACGTATAATTATTTTCTGCAGTGTCGTTTTTCATACCTTCATTTCAGATAGATCCTAATTTTTTTTTTTTTTTTTTTTGAGTTGGAGTCTCACTCTTTCACCCAGACTGGAGTGCAGTGGCCGTTCCTGGCCACCGCAGCCTCGACCTGCTGGGCTCCGGCGATCCTTCCGCCTCAGCCTTCCAAGTAGCCGGAATTACAGGCATGGGCTACCACGCCCGGCTGATTTTTTGATTTATTGTAGAGATGAGGTCTCGCTGCCCAGGCGGGTCTCGAACCCGCGGGCTCAGGCAATCCACTCACCTCAGCCTCCCAAAGGCGCGGGATTACAGGCTGAGCCACCGAGCTCGGCTAGATCCTAATTTTTTTAACCTCTCCCATCCCTTTCATTTGCTGCCTTTCTCCAAACTCAAGGTTTCTGTCGTCAGTCATCTTTCTTTCACCCTTAAACTTTTCTAGTAATTCTATTTTCCCACCCTTCTCCAAAAGCTCATACTCTGGTAATGTATATGTAGTGTTCAGTTGAGTACTTCTGAATACATACCGACTTTCCAAAGCAGTGAAATCTAATCAATTACCATGGAAATAACCTCTGGGAAGATGAGATCTCCACTTGAAATCATCAAATAGAAATTCTACTCATGTTGAATGATGGAGTAGTATCTGTGTTTGAAATAGAGTGACTACTTGAACTACACAAAATGTTCACTATTATGAAATGAGAATATATCTTTGATTTTAAACTTCTGTTTTGATTGACTTGATAAATAGCATATTACCTCAGGAAAAGTAAGTTTCATGTATTTTTTATCGAGCATTAATTCTTTAGGATAATTGTAGACTTAGAATTGATTGATCCAGTCTCCTAGTCCATGCTGAAGTCCCTTCCAATAATAGGAGGAACTCATAATCTGCAAGGCAACCCGATCCATTTTGTACCGCTACTGATTATTGTGAAGTTCATCCTTGTATTGGGTTAAAAATCTACTGCTTATAATTATTTTCATTAACCTTTATTCTACCCTCAAGCTATATAAAATTCAGATCCCTTTTCTGCATGATAGCCTTTTAGATCCTCTCTACCTTTCCAGTCACAAATTTCCCCTTTGGGATAAACATCCTCAGTTCTTGCAACTGTTCTTATGATATCATTTTCATCATCCTGATTGCTCTCTAAGGGCATTAAACTTTGTTTATTTTTGTTCTAAAATATATTTGGAGCTGGAAATAATATTCAGTATGTAGCTGAATTAGGTCTGGATGTTGTACATCTGGACACTAATGCAGCCTGAAGTTGCTATAAGTTTTTTAGCCACCATGTAATGTTGGCTCATAAGAAATTTGTAATTAACTAAAATCCCAAGGTGTTATCTGGAGGCTTGCCTTTACGGCACTTCTTTCCAAATCAAGTCTCCATCTTTCTTTAGTTGTGCAGCAGACTCTTTTTTTTTTTTTTTTTTTTTTAACAGAATGTAAGACTTTACACTTATCCCTATTAAATTCTATCTCATTAGCCTGGCAGCCAGCCTTGGTTTCTTTGCATCGTGATTTTTGTCATCTAGTTTTTTTTGCTGATTCAACAAAGGGCCCTGAAGCTAATGCTGGACTGTTTTCAGACATCTGGAAAATGATAATTAATCAAAAGTCATGGAGCCTATGTTCCAAAAATTGTATTATGCAAATATAACTCAGCTGTGAGATGTATGTAAGTTAATACCACAGTAAATTGTCAAGTCCAGGAAGGACTGAAGCCCAATGCCAGCTTACCTTGTGTTGAATCGTAGACCAAGAGGGATGATGTTATAAGATATAATTTTGCCAGGCTGCCGTGAGTGTGCCACTGTACTCCAGCCTGGGCAACAGAGTGAGACTCTGACTCAAAAAAAGTAAAATAAAATAAAAAGGCATAATTTTGCCAACATAAAGCCAAAAAAGCTGCCTAATTCTTCCCAATAAGTCAATTAATACACATATGAGTTAGAGTTGTAGTCACTGTGACCATTCTTTTATTTTGCATCTGATAAGTTTATACTGAACACAAGATCAGGCAATGTGGGAGATACGGGAGAACCAGATTTGCCTCAAAGCTGTGGTGATCACATGCCCTGATGTGTCTTGGACCCCCCTGATTTATGCCTGTTGTCCCAGTGTAATTATTAGTAGTGTCATTTTTCATTTTTTAAAGAGATAAGTTCTCACTCTGTCACCCAGGCTGGAGTGCAGTAGCATGATCATAGCTCACTGTAGCCTCGAATTCCTGGGCACAAGTGATCCTCCCACCTCAGCCTCCCAAGTAGAGTAGTGTCATTTTTCACTTTCAAAAATGTCCAGGTTTGAAGGATAATTTATCTTACCCCTCTTCTCATAACCCAACATGTTCCTTTTAGGATTTTATCTGGGTTATATATTATATAGCCATAATTTGGCAGTTCTAATGAGGCTGCAACAGTACTTCTCTTCCATTGAACAGATTGTTCCTTGACCAAAGATAGTTGATAGCAAAAGTAACTGCAATTAAGGTCTGCAAATACTTAGGATTTTTTTTCTGAACCACCCTCAAGAGGGCAGTATTATATATATCTGGAATGATCCAATCCCAACAAAAAAAATCAGCTTTTTTATGCATGGAAATAAAAAATATTTGATGTTCTTAACACATTGGAACCAATATTGTGAATAAAACTTACCTTTTGCTAAGCAAAAAAGTAAAGGAATTAAAATTAATTCATTAGCATTCTGAACATTCTTTTTTTAATTTGTAAAAACTGAACTTTGATGCCTTGAATATACAATGATTCATTATAACAATTATGCATAGACTTTAATAATCTGCATATTTTATGCTTCTTTCATGTTTTCCTAATTAATGATTTGACATGGTTAGTAATTGTAATATATTCTGCATCACATAGTTTCCATAATTATGCTAAATAAGCACTTAAAAATTAATAGTTTTGTTCTACCTGCTTAAATATTGCTTTCCTCAAAAAGAGAAAATAAAAATGCTAGATTTTACTTTATAATTTGAATCATTATAATGTTGAACTCTAGTATTTAGAATTAGAATATTTCTTAGTGATTGTGTAGTTATTTTTATGTAATCAGTGGGTAATTTGTTAGCTCCTAATAACAAAAGTATATTGCTTACGTTTCACATTATGGATTTCCTAATGTAATGTTCTCTTTTTAGAAAAGGTGGACAAGTCCTATTTTCAAGAGAAGATGACTTTTAACAGTTTTGAAGGATCTAAAACTTGTATACCTGCAGACATCAATAAGGATGAAGAATTTGTAGAAGAGTTTAATAGATTAAAAACTTTTGCTAATTTTCCAAGTAGTAGTCCTATTTCAGCATCAACGCTGGCCCGAGCAGGTTTTCTTTATACTGGTGAAGGAGATACTGTGCGGTGCTTTAGTTGTCATGCAGCAGTAGATAGGTGGCAATATGGAGACTCAGCAATTGGAAGACACAGGAAAGTATCCCCAAATTGCAGATTTATCAACGGCTTTTATTTTGAAAATAGTGCCATGCAACCTACAAATACTGGTGTCCAAAATGGTCAGTACAAAGTTGAAAACCACTTGGGAAACAGAAATCACTTTGCTTTAGACAGACCATCTGAAACTCATGCAGACTATCTTTTGAGAACTGGACAGGTTGTAGATATATCAGACACCATATACCCGAGGAACCCTGCCATGTGTAGTGAAGAAGCTAGATTAAAGTCATTTCAGAACTGGCCTGACTATGCCCATTTAACACCAAGAGAGTTAGCTAGCGCTGGACTCTACTACACAGGTATTGATGACCAAGTGCAGTGCTTCTGTTGTGGTGGAAAACTGAAAAATTGGGAACCTTGTGATCGCGCCTGGTCAGAACACAGGCGACACTTTCCTAATTGCTTCTTTGTTTTGGGCCGGAACACTAATATTCGAAGTGAATCTGATGTTGTGAGTTCTGATAGGAATTTTCCAAATTCAACAAATCCTCCAAGAAATCCATCCATGGCAGATTATGAAGCACGGATCATTACTTTTGGGACGTGGATATACTCAGTTAACAAGGAGCAGCTTGCAAGAGCTGGATTTTATGCTTTAGGTAAACTTTATTATAAAACCAATAAATAACTTTCCAACTATCCCAGGGCTCCTAAAAAGTAAATAGATGCCTTTAGTCCCCTGAACTGGTAAATATTTAGGTATAAGCTGGCATGGTTATTCATATCAGTATTATTCTGTGAACTCTTATGTTGAATCTGTAAGATTTGAAGAAGGCTACCGTATTATGAGTCATGTTTATCTTCATGTCATTGTTTTTAGGAGATGGATGACATGCAAAAGATGGTAGACATGCCCAATAGAAGAATAAGTCTAATAGTAATACTAGCGATCATTTTTGAGCACCTGTATGTGCTCAACACATATATTACATGCATTTTCTCTAAGCCTCACAACAACCCTATCAAAAGATAACATTAGAGAGTTTAGTTTGCTCACACTGTATTAAAATGATCTACATTTAGCATACAGACTATATATTTGAAAGCTGCTTTGTGTTATACTATTGCTTCAAATGAGTGCTTTTCAAATGGACTGCTGTAGACATGTCAGGAAGGGCCATTAATATGATGGCTTCCAGCAATATATTTTTTTAGATTGCCATTATATATGTGACCCATTTATTTTAGGATTGAATAGTATCTATAAAATAATGGTTACTTCAAAGGATTTTATTTATATAGCATTATATAATAATCTTGAAGGGTTGCTTAGTTTCATGCAGCTATAACCTTAGAGGAACTTGTCTTGTAATTTCATATGCAGAACTGTGTTGTTACAAATACTTGGAATATAACTTATTTTAAAGTTTCACAGTTTAAGACAGTAAGTGTGATATTGATGGCCCAAATGACAGACTTTAAAAGAAAGTAATGAGTGTATTTTTTAACATAAAAACTGGGCAATTTTATTTTTATTTGTCTTCTGTAAAGTACGTCAGATTGAATCAGTGAATTTAGTATTTATTTCCTCCTTTAGTGATAAAAATCATGTGTTACTTAGATGTGAATTTGAATGTCATCTTTTAAGCTATGAGATTTTTCATGTAATTTAGGTGTGCTTAATTTTTAGGTGTTAAAATGGGTATTTTTGTGTAAGCTTCTCATTGTACAAACACATATATTTTTACTTGTATGTTTTGTTAGGTGAAGGTGATAAAGTAAAATGTTTTCACTGTGGAGGAGGGCTAACTGATTGGAAGCCCAGTGAAGACCCTTGGGAACAACATGCTAAGTGGTATCCAGGGTAAGCTATTTTATTGTTCATTCATTTACAAGCAGATTGGACAGCATGCAGTGGGAAAATTTGAATTACTTTTCACCTCAACTATTTTTGCCTTCACTATGGCATGAAATTCATACCAGGTTTATGAAAATGGGGTCACCTACTTTATAGAAAAAAACAAACAAAACATCAGAGCCTTCTCTGGTGACCAAAACATTCACTGCTTACGTATCATATCTGTGACATTCAGATTATTCCATTTCTAAGCCCAAATTAGGAAATGCATACTTTTCTGCTGTTGGAAGTAGGCTCTTTCATGGTGGGCACAAAAGAGCCCATGTTGCCAAGGAGATTCTTCAAGAAGCCATCATGCCCCCTAGGAAATATTAACATGTCTCATTAACTCTAAGACACACAACTGTGTTCCCATTTTAATATCTCTGAAATCAGGACATATCTAGTGGTAGGTCATAATTTGATCGGTAGTGTTTTAGAAGGCATATAATAAAATAATCATGCTTCTTACAATCAGTGGCATTTTAGGATGGTGATATGCCCTAAATGTCTCTTTGCCATATTGCCTCTTTAAATTAAATGTACACAGATATATAAGTGATGTGAATTCCTGGGATACAATAATACAACTTTAAAACTTCAGAGCAATCATGTGAAAAGAAATCTTAACCTTGGGAAAAATTGAAAAGCATAAAGAATTCTTTTAAAATATATGATTGATTAATTCTCTAAATAAAACCTGTTAAGAAGATTAACTCTTTAAAAAAATTTTTAATGTCAAGGTGTTTAATAACTTTAATAAAGTTGAAAGTTCTCAAGTGGATATTTTTTGTTCTGTAAAATGAGCATAAGTGGGCTGGGAACGGTGGCTCATGCCTATGATCTCAGCACTCTGGGAAGCCGAGGCAAGGGAATTGCCTGAGCTCACGGGTTTGAGACCAGCTTGGGCAACTTGGCGAGACCTAATCTCTACAATAAATCAAAAAATTAGCCCAGCATGGTGGCGCGTGCCTGTAGTTCTACTACTTGGGATACTGAGGCAGAAGGGTCACTTGAGCCCAGCAGATTGAGGCTGCAGTGGCCGTGTGCATGCCACTGCACTCCAGCCTGAGTGACAGAATGAGACTGCGCTCAAAAAAAAAAAAAAAAAATTAGCATAAGTAGCGTAACAAAGGAAACTTTTTTTTTTAAACCTGAAAATGGCAGTTGAATAGGCAATTGGGTAACATTTTACTTTGTGGCTCCATAGAAATACTGAAAAGCAAGTTAAAGGAATTAATTAATGAGATTAATATGATAGAGATTATAATTTTACTTATACTTCGTGAATTTATCAGCTACTAAATTTTAACCTTCTTTTAATTGTTTAGGTGTAAATATCTGTTAGAAGAGAAGGGACAAGAATATATAAACAATATTCATTTAACCCATTCACTTGAGGAATCTTTGGTAAGTCCCATACTGTATAATTTATATTTCTTTTTTTTCCCCCCGCGTTGGAGTCTCACTCCGTCGCCCAGGCTGGAGTGCAATGGCACACTCACAGCCACCCCAGCATTGACCTGCTGGGCTCCAGCTATCCTTCTGCCTCAGCCTTCCAAGTAGCCGGAACTACAGGTGTGCACTACCACGCCTGGCTATTTTTTTTATTTACTGTAGAGCTGAGGTCTCGCCAAGTTGCCCAAGCTGTTCGCGAACCCTTGGGCTCAGGCAGTCCCCTCACCTCGGCCTCCCAAAGTGCTGGGATTATAGGCTTGGGCCACCATGCCTGGCCTATAATTTATATTTCAAGTGTTATGTCATTTGTTTTGCACTTATTTTTTGTGTATAATTCACAGTATGGTATTATAAGTTAATAAATGTGTGATGGACTTAAAAGGGGAGAACAACTTTTTGCACACAATATTTAAAAGCTCAAAAATATGATAGGATGAACTGGGCCAAGGCATCAGTGATAGCTGGAAAGAACCCTGAGCTAGGATGGAAGATTTGAGTTGCCACGATAATTCTATTGTGAAGTTATTCATTATCCTTGAGCCTCAGCTTGTTTTCTGTAAAGTGAAGGAATTGGATTAGATGATCTTTTAACTTCTAGCTCTATCTGGCTATACCCCTTGTGAATATTCGTATATTGAATTGCAATAAAGCCAATTTATTTCAAATTTATGATTAATGTAGCTTATCAAACTGAAATCATTGCCTTCTACCAAAAAGAATTCTAACTTACAATTCATATTTCTGTTATAGGCAAGAACTGCTGAAAAAACACCATCACTAACAAAAATAATTGGTAAATATCCTTATTAAATTAAATATACTTTTAATTTCACTGCCAATTTATTATAGTTGTTATTTATGGTGTGGAAAGATAAGTATATTCCTTCAAGGTCACCATACTATATTTATTTGAGATGTGAATTTAATGATGTGCCTATCATTTTTAGTGAGATATTTCTGTATTAAGAACATTGGTACAGCTGGTGAACAGCTTTTCTAAGGGAGGAGAAGTCATAGGCTGCTTCATTGCCATTTCTGTTAAAATCACGAGAGAAAAGGTGAAGTGTATTTTTGGCCCTTAGTTTCCTTAAGTAAGCCAGTATTATGAGTTTAGTATTCTGCTAATATGTCATCATCTTGACCCCCTGCTCTTTTATCCCATGCTGTCTTTATACCTTCCCCACGTTCTTCACAGAGGGGTAAGGTTTGGTTTGATTACCTCCTGTTCCCTCATGGAGAAGTAGAGGTTTATATCACTAAAATTTTTTACTCATCATAGACATCTTTAAAAACCAGAAAGTAGGCAGAGAAAGATATTGTTATGTAAGGAAGATAACTGTTATTCTACTGTTTAGATGAAGAAACAGAGTCAGGTTAAGTGACTTGCCCACAATCACATTGCAAATTATTAGTGGAGCTAGGAATGTAAACAAGGTCTTCTGAGTCCTGCGTCATACAGCAGATCTCATTTTTAACCTAAGCATCATATTTCAAAAATAGTAAAAGGTTTAATTTAGAATATGGCTGGTGTTTCCCCACTCCCTATCCCTGTAGCATCATCTGTTTGTATCATATGAATTACAAGGCAAGAGAATACTATAGGTATTCATAAATAATAGATACATTATTTGATATGGTTTTGTAATAGGCATACAATACAGTTTTAAAAATCATTTAGTTCAGCCTATATTTTTAAGATTATTCAGAAGCAATGATTTTGTAACTTTTTGACTTGGGGTCTCCCTGTGTTACTCACTTAAGTCCAATGTTTTGTCGCAGCCACCATCATAGCACATTACAGTCTTAAACCTCTGGGCTCAAGTGATCCTCCTGCTTTTTTAGCCTCCTGAGTAGCTGGGACTACAGCCCGCACCACTGCACCTGGCTTCTATAGCATTTCTTGAAAATAATTTCTGATATTTAATGTACATGTTAATCTTTATGTAATTAATGACATTCTTGCTCTGGTTTAGGGTTAATTTTTTTTTTTTTTTTTTTTAGAGATCAGATCTCTCCAAGTTGCCCAAGCTAGTCTCAAACCCATGGGCTCAGGCAATCCTCTCACCTTGGCCTCCCAAAGTCCTGGAATTATAGGTGTGAGCCACCTTGCCCAGCCAGTTAATGTTTTTAAATTGAGATATAATTCACATAGCATAAATGTCACCTTAGAAAGAAAGAAATTTAGTGATTTTTAGTATATTCAAATATTGCACAACCATTACTACTATTTAATTGTATAACATTGTCACTACCCCAAGAAGAAACTCGGTACTCACCCATCAATAGTCATTCCTCAGTGCCCCCCCCCCACTTCAGGCCCAGGCAACCACTAATCTATTTTCTGTCTCTATGAATTTGCCTCTTCTAGACATTTAACATAAATGAAACTATGCAATACGTGTCCTTAAGATTCATCCATTTTGTAGCATATATGAGTACTTTATTATCTTTTGTGGTATAAAAATATTCCATTGTATGGATGATACCACATTCTATTTATTTATTTATTTATTTATTTATTTATTTATTTATTTTAGTTGGAGTCTCACTCTGTCGCCCAGACTGGAGTGCAGTGGCCACTCCCGGCCACTGCAGCCTCAACCTGCTGGGCTCCAGTGATCCTTCCGCCCTCAGCCTTCCGAGTAGCCAGAATTACAGGCGCACCCTACCATGCCTGGCTAATTTTTTATTTATTGTAGAGATGAGGTCTCACCAAGTTGCCCAGGCGGGTCTCGAACCCGCAGGCTCAGGCAATCCACTCACCTCAGCCTCCCAAGGCCCAGGATTACAGGCTGAGCCACCAAGTCCGGCTCACATTCTATTTATTTGCGTGTCAGTTGATGGACATTTGGCTTGTTTTGACTTTTTTTTTAAAGTAGGATTTATTGAGAGGACAGAAAAGCTCCCACAATGGGAGGGAACCCAAGGAGGTTGCCCTGTTTTGACTTATTGGCCAATATGAATGAGCTGCTGTAAACATTTTTGTACAAGGTTTTGTGTAGACATATGTTTTGCTGTTGTTGCTTTTCCAAGTTGGAGTCTCACTCTGTCTCTCAGGTTGGAGTGAAGTGGCATGCTCACGGCCACTGCAGCCTCGACCTCCTAGGCTCAGGCGATCCTTCCGCCTCAGCCTTCCAAGTAGCTGGAACTACAGGCACGTGCCATCACGCCTGCTGAATTTTTCTTGATTTATTGTAGAGATGAGGTCTCACCAAGTCGCCCAAGCTGGTCTCAAACCCATGGGTTCAGGCAATCCTCTCACCTCGGCCTCCCAAAGTGCTGAGATTATAGGTATGAGCCACCGTGCCTGGCCAGACATATGTCTTTAATTCTCTTGGATATATATCCAGGGATGTAATTGCTGAGTCATGTGGTGATTCTATGTTTAACTTTTTGATGAACTACCAGACAGTTTTCCAAAGTTGCTGTACCATTTGACGTCCCATTGGCAGACAGTGTATGAGAATTTTATTTTTTCCGCGTCCTCACCAACACTTGTTATTGTCTTTTTTATTATAGCCATTCTTCCAACTGTAACATGATATTGCATTGTGGTTTTGTTTTACATTTCCCTGATGACTAATGATATTGAACATCTTTTTATGTACTTATATTGTCCATTTGTACATCTTCTTTGGAGAAATGACTGTTCGTGTCCTTTGACCATTTTTTAGTTAAGTTGTCTTTTTGTCATTGAGTTGTAAGATTTCATCATCTGTTAAAGGTCTTTACATATATTTTTCTTTTTTTGAGTCAGTCTCACTTTGTCACCCAGGCTAGAGTGCAGTGGCATGCTCACAGCCACAGCAGCCTCGTCCTGCTGGGCTCAGGCAATACTTCCACCTCAGCCTTCCAAGTAACTGGAACCACAGGCACGCGCCACCATGCCCAGCTAATTTTTTTTTTTTTTATTATTTATTGTAGCGACAAGGTCCTGCCAAGTTGCCCAGGCTGTTCTCGAACCCCTGGACTCAGGCAATTCTCTCCTCTGCCTCCCAAAGTGCTAGGATTGTAGGTGTGAGCCACAGCACCTGACTAGTTTTTTACATATATAAGTCTCTTGTTAGATATATGGTATTCAAATATTTTCTTCCATTCTATAGGTTTTCTTTTTACTTTCTTGTTGGTATTCTTTCAAGCACAAAAGTTTTTAATTTTGGTGAAGTTCAACTTATCTTTTTTTTATTTTTTGGACCGTTCATGCTTTTGTGGTCATTTTTAAGAAACTGTTGCCTAATCCATGGTCACGCTGTTGTTATTTTGAGTCAGGATGTCACTCTGTCATCCAGGGTGTGTTGCAGTGGCATGATCACGACTCACTGCAGCCTCAACCTCCTGGGCGCAAGTGATCCTTCCACCTCAGCCTCACAAGTAGCTGGGACTACAGGCATGTACCACCACACCTGGCTAATCTTTTTGATTTTTTGTAGAGATGGAGTCTGGCTATGTTACCCAGGCTGGTTTCAAACTCCTAGGCTCAAGCAATCCTCCTGCATTGGCCTCCCAAAGTGCTGGGATTACAGGCATGAGCCACTGCTCCCAGCCCAGGGACACAAAGGTTTATACATATCTCTTCTTCTAAAAGTTTTATGGTGTTAGCTCTTACATTCAGGTCTTTGATCCATTTTTGAGATAATTTTTGTATATAGTGTCAGGTAGGGGTTCATTTAATTATTTATCATGTAGATATTCAGTTGTCCCTGCTTTTTGGCTTTTAGCAAATTGAGTTTGAGATACCTGTAGAACATCGAAGTAGGAGGATATTAAGACCTAGTACTTAAAGAGTAAGATAGTGGTGGCAGGGGAAGTACCTGAAGAAATCATTAAAAAGTAAGTGGGGGCAAAACAAACTGAAAAAAAGAAACCAAGTCAGAAATAGGAGAAGCAGGAAAGAGCAGTGTCCAGCTGCCCTCTGGTCATTTCCACCTAGAAATCCCCAAAGCATCTCAAATTCAGCATCTCTAAAAACAACTTGGAATGAATCTAACCCTGCTTTTTTTTATCCTGTATTGGTTATCAATACCACAGTTCACAAGTTTGCCCAGAAATTTGAGTCCTTTTAAGCACATCGCGGTCTATAATCCTACATTTAATTAATCGCCAGGTCTGATAGATTTCACCTTTTAAAATATTGCCTGTAATCTATCTACTTTCCACTGATTCTATTCTAGTCAGGTCCTTATTTTTCATCTGGACTATTGTAGTAGTCTCCTAAATGGACTTTTATCTGTATTATAACCTCCCAATAGAGTTTTTCTTTTCTTTTTTTTTTGAGTTGGAGTCTCACTCTTTCGCCCAGACTGGAGTGCAGTGGCCGCTCCCGGCCACCGCAGCCTTGACCTGCTGGGCTCCAGCGATCCTTCCGCCTCAGCCTTCCAAGCAGCTAGAACTACAGACGCGCGCTACCACGCCCGGCTAAGAGTTTTTCTTTATCAAAAATAAATCTTAATTTACTTTCCTACCTAAAAAATATCTTTTTTTACTTACCATTTATTTTTCTTGTAATCAAATCCCTATATATTTCCCTTTCCAGCCTCCTTTCTTTTAAAAAAACATTTATTAGCCAGAAGCAGTGGCTCTTGTCTGTAATTCCAGCACTTTGGGAAGCTGAGGTGGGAAGATTGCGACTCAAAAACAAAAAAATTTTTGAGGTATAATATATATAAAGTGCTGTCTGGACACAGTGGCTTTCGCCTGTAATCCCAGCACTTTGGGAGGCCGAGGTGAGAGGATTGCCTGAGCCCAGGGGTTCAAGACAAGCCTGGGCAACTTGGTCGGACCTCGTCTCTACAATAAATCAAGAAAAATTAGCCTGATGTGGTAGTACACACCTGTAGCTCCAGCTACTTGAAAGGATTGAAGTGGAAGGATCATCTGAGCCCAGCAGGTTGAGACTACAATGGCTGTGAGCATGCCTCTGCACTCCAGCCTGGGCAACAGAATGAGACTCCAACGCAAAAAATAAAAAAATAAAAATAAAGTGCTTGGGGTACATTGATCATATATTTAAACTTGATGAATTTTCTCACACACACACACACACACACACACACACACACACACACACACACACAAACCCCTGTGTAACCATCAGCCAGATCAAGATATGGAACATTCCTAGATTGTTTAAACTCTATGTGCTGTTTCTTTGTACCCAGAAAGCTCCTTCAGGCTTTTTCCCCATCCAATGCCCACCCCTGAGTTATAGTCTGGCTTCTGTTACCATAGAATAATTTTGCTTGTTATCATGGAATAGTTTTGAACTGGCCAGGCTCGGTGACTCAGCCTGTAATCCCAGCACTTTGGGAGGCCGAGGTGAGTGAATTGTCTGAGCCCGTGGGTTCAAGACCCTCCTGGGCAACTTGGCGAGACCTCGTCTCTACAATAAATCAAAAATGAGCCAGGCATAGTAGCACTTGCCTATAGTTCCAGCTACTTGGAACGCTGAGACGGAAGGATCACTAGCCCAGCAGGTCGAGGCTGTGGTAGACAAGAGTGTGCCACTGCACTCCAGTCTGGGTGATGGGGTGAGACTCCAACTCAAAAAAAAATAAAAATAAAAAAAAGAATAGTTTTGAATTTTGTTCAAATGAAATCATGCAGTAAGTGCTCTTTTATGTCTGGTTCATCATTTATAATGATGTTTTGCTTATCATGTCTATGAGATTCATCCACACTGTGACAGTAGTTGTTTTTTTTTTTCCTGTGTATTGTTTTAATATATCACAATTTATTTATCTATGCATCTGATGATGGACATTTGAGTTGTTCTAAGTTTAGGGCTATTATAAATAACACTGCTGTGAATATTCTTGTACATGTCTTTGGCAGAGATATGCACTCATTTTTAATACCCACAGTAGAATTATTGATGAGTCAGAGGACAAGTCTCCTGTCTCTTAGCACTTCCCTATACATCTTAGATTCCTACTTTGAGTATCATAAAAATGAGTTTCCATTGACTTTCTTGCCTTATCTAGTTTAATCTCGTCAGCTACATAAACTTAGTCTGAGAGCTAGGAAATTGATAGATTCGAGGTCACAGACTGGGACTTCCCCAGTTTCCCATAATTTTTTTCCAACTAATTGCCAGTGACTCAGTAGCATTTACTCTTTAAGGAACTTGGGTTAATTAATTAATTAGGTAATTAGTATAGCTGAATTCAAAAAAGATTCCTTTTTATTGTTGTTGTTTTGTTTGAATCGGTGTCTTACTCTGTCATCCAGGCTGGTGTACAGTGACACAGTCATGACTCACTGCAACCTTGACCTCCTGAGCTCAGGTGATCCTCCCACCTCAGCCTCCTGAGTAGCTGGGACTACAGGTGCATGCCATCACGTGCTACTTATTATTATTTTATTTTTTGTTCTTGTAGAGATGAGGGCTCGATTTTTTGCCCAGACAGGTCTCAAACTCCTGGGCTCAAATAATCCTCTCACCTTAGCCTCCCAAAGTGCTGGGATTATAAGCATGAGCCACCAAGCTCAGCCATACTACTCTTTAGCAAGTCACAGTGCCTCCTGGCTAACATTCAGATTTTTTTTCTTTTTCTTTTTCTTTTCTTTTCTTTTTTTTTTTTTTGAGTCCGAATCTCACTCTGTTCCCTAGGATGGAATACAATGGCATAATCATGGCTGCCACCGCCTCAACCTGCTGGGCTCAGGTGATCCTTCTGCCTTAGCCTTCCAAGTGACTGGGATTACAGACACACACCACCATACCTGGCTAATTTTTTTAATTTATTGTAGAGACAAGGTTGCCCAGGCTGGTGTCAAACTCCTGAACTCAGGCACCTCAGCTTCCCGAAGTGCTGGGATTATAAGCGTGAGCCACTGTGACTGACCATCATCTTTTTTAAAATCAGGGTCTCACTTTGTTGCCCAGGCTAGAGTGCAAAGGTACAACCACGGCTCACCACAGGCTCAAACTTCTGGGCTCAAATGATCCTCCCACCTCAACCTCCCTATCGCCGTGCGCCATCATACCTGGCTAATTTTTTGTTTTTTTGTAGAGAGAAGGTCTGGCTATGTTGCCTATGCTGGTTTCGAACTCCTGGGCTCAAGAGATCCTCCTGCGTTGGCCTCACAGCATGAACCACTGTGCCCGGCCTTATCATAGTCTTTAAAGCGTCTAATCTGGCCGGGCTCGTTGGCTCAGCCTGTAATCCCATGCTTTGGGAGGCCGAGGTGAGTGAATTGCCTGAGCCCGCGGGTTCGAGACCTGCCTGGGCAACTTGGCGAGACCTCATCGCTACAATAAATCAAAAATCAGCCAGGCGTGGTAGTGTGCGCCTGTAATTTCGGCTACTCAGAAGGCTGAGGCAGAAGGATCGTGGGAGCCCAGCGGGTTGAGGCTGCGGTGGCCGGGAGGAGCGGCCATTGCACTCCAGTCTGGGCGACAGAGTGAGACTCCAACTCAAATAAAAAAAAAAGCATCTCATCTAATCTCAAATAACCCAACACATTAAAAAATTGGCATATTGCATTTGCAATTAACTGTAGGATTTTGAAAAGGGATCCTTCAGTGCCTGGATATTCCATAAAAATCTTCCCAAAGCAGCTTTGATTTGCTGGTTTGTTTTTGTTAGTTTGCTGCTGCTTTTTTTTTAACTATATTTTGCTATTGAATTGTGTTCATGAAAATAATTGTTTAAAATCTATGTTCTTTTTCCTCACCAATTTTTATTGCAGATGATACCATCTTCCAAAATCCTATGGTACTAGAAGCTATTAGAATGGGATTCAGCTTCAAGGACATTAAGAAAATAATGGAGGAGAAAATTCAGACATCTGGGAGCAACTATAAATCACTTGAGGTTCTGGTTGCAGATCTAGTGAGTGCTCAGAAAGACAGTACACAAGATGAGTCAAGTCAGACTTCATTGCAGAAAGGTATGCATGGCTGTTTTTTAAAAGCAAGGGAAACCAAATAGCACTTCATTATGGATAATATCTTATATGACTGTGGCCCATTCATTTCCCTCCTCTCACCTCCCCTCTTAAGGTAAACGTTTTTTAAAACTTTTTATTATGAAAAATTTCAAGTGCACACAAAAGTCAAGAGAACAGTGAATCTTCATGTACTTACTAACCAGTTCTGATAATTATCAACACATTTCTGATTTTGCTTTATATCTTCCCCCAACTTCTTTTTATTATAGTATTTCAAAGTAAATACCAGACATCCTATGTATCGTTACCTATTTCTTTCTTTCTTTTTTTTTTTTTTTTTTTTTTTTTGAGTTAGAGTATCATTCTGTCACCCAGGCTGGAGTGCAGTGGCATGCTCACGGCCACCTCAGCCTCAAACTGCTGGGCTCAGGCGATTCTTCCACTTCAGCCTTCTGAATAGCTGGAACTACAGATATGCATCACCATGCCTGGCTCATGTTTTGACTTACTGTAGAGATGAGGTATCACCATGTTGCTCAAGCTGGTCTTGAACCCGCGGGCTCAGGCAATCCTCTCACCTCTGCCTCCCAAAGTGCTAGAATTACAGGTGTGAGCCACTGCACCTGGCTACCTATTTCAAGATATATCCAATGATAAGAAAGTTTTCAAAACATAACCTTAATGCTTTATGTTAGTCTTTTCCAGCTGCAATAACAAAATACCATATTGGCCAGGCTTGGTGACTCAGCCTGTAATACCAGCACTTTGGGGGGCTGAGGTGAGTGAATTACTAAGCCTGTGGGTTCAAGACCAGCCCAGACAACTTGGCGAGACTTCGTCTCTACAATAAATCAAAAATTAAGCCGGGCTCGGTGGCTCAGACTGTAATCCCGTACCTTGGGAGGCTGAGGTGAGTGGATTGCCTGAGCCCACGGGTTGGAGACCCACCTGGGCAACTTGGTGAGACCTCATCTCTACAATAAATCAAAAAATTAGCCGGGTGTGGTACCGCGCACCTGTAGTTTCAGCTACTTGGAAGGCTGAGGCGGAAGGATCGTTGGAGCCCAGCAGGCCGAGGCTGCGGTGGCCGGGAGCGGCCACTGCACTCCAGTCTGGGTGACAGAGTGAGACTCCAACTCAACAATAGATAAACAAATAAATCAAAAATTAGCCAGGTAGCACGCATCTGCAGTTTTGGCTACTTGGAAGGCTGAGGCGGAAGAATCGCCGGCGCCCAGCAGGTCAATGCTGGGGTGGCTGTGAGCGTACCACTGCATTCCAGCCTAGGTAACAGAGTGAGACTCCAACTCAAAAAAAAAAAAATACCATAGACTTGGTGGCTTAAACAAAGACATCCATTTTTCACAATTCTGGAGGCTAGGAAGTCCATGCTCAAGGAGCCAGCAGATTGGTTCCCCATGAGGGCCCTCTTCCTGCCTTACAGATGGCTACCTTCTCACTGTGCTCTCACATGGCATCAGAGGGGAGGTGGCAGAACTAGTCGCTCTTCCTCTGCTTATAAGATCACTACCCCTATCATGGGAGTCTCACCCTTATGACCTCATCTAAACTTAATTACTTCCCAAAGGCTGTACCTCCAGATACCATCACATTATACATGAAAAAAGATTCAAAATATGAGCTCCTTCTTTAAGGATGATGGATACTATAGTGCTTGCCAGCAAGAGAGAAAGTTAAAGAAGTCTCAAACTGACTATGCTTTTGAGTACTTTAACTACAATCATTGTTCTGTAAGTTCTTGACCACGTTCCCCCCAAAAAAGATGAGAATTCTCCCAGTGTGAATAAACCTAAAAGTTGACTTATTTAGACATATTTAAGACCCTTTTAATCCTTAAGATATTTCAAATGCTTTTGAAACATTATTCAGATAATTATATAAGTCATAAAACAGTATCACATTAATGATATTTAAAATTATATCTGTTGAGGTAAAAGCAGTAAAGCTTACTGCTTTTTTGTTAAAGATGCATTCATTTTAACTGGGCACGGTGGCTCGTGCCTGTAATCCCAGCACTTTGGGAGGTGAAGGCAAGAGGATTGCCTGAGTCCAGGGATTCAAGACCAGCCTGAGCAACTTGGCAAGACCACATCTCCACAATAAATAAATTTAAAAAGTCAGCCGGGCGTGGTGGCGCACACCTGTGGTACCTGGTACTTTGAAGGCTGAGGCAAAAAGAACACCTGAGCAGCAGGTCAACCCTGCGGTGGCTGTGAGCGTGCCACTGCACTCCAGCCTGGGCAACAGAGTGAAACTCCTATTCAAAAAAAAGCATTTATTTAAGGGGCACATAGCATCAATAAGAGTATCCACACTTTACCTGTATGATGACCACATATGTATGTAACCCTGAATTGTACCCCACATTTTTAAAATAAAAAACGAAAACAAGAAAAAAAAATCTATACAAGCTCCACTTGTTGGTAAAAATAAACCATGTACTTGGTCATCTTTCTACCGTAATAGAAACATAAGTTTAATTCTCAAAATAGGGGAGTTTAAAAAAAAGAAATATAAACAGTTGTGTCATTTTCCCCTGCATCTTAAACACAACTCAAGCTTAATTAAGTCTGGCTATAAGTTGTTAGTTTTTATACCTGCAAGTGTTGTGCACATCAGAAGGATTTAGTGGGTTGCAATAGGAAGAGACACTGCATAAAAAAACAATTTAAAAAGACACCTCAGCCAGGCTCAGTGGCTCAGCCTGTAATCCCGCGCCTTTGGGAGGCTGAGGTGAGTGGATTGCCTGAGCCCGCGGGTTCGAGACCCGCCTGGGCAGCGAGACCTCATCTCTACAATAAATCAAAAAATCAACCGGGTGTGGTAGCGCATGCCTGTAATTCCACCCACTTGGAAGGCTGAGGCGGAAGGATCGCCGGAGCCCAGCAGGTTGAGGCTGCGGTGGCCGGGAGCGGCCACTGCACTCCAGTCTGGGTGACAGAGTGAGACTCCAACTCAAAAAAAAAAAAAAAGACACTGCATTAGGGGAGTGACTTTTTTCTAACCAACAGGAGTCGATGGGAGCTCTTATTATCACAGCAACTACAAACTAGGATGGTGTGGGAAGGAGAGCCTAAGCAAATGGCAACTCTCAGGGTCGGGGGTTGGAATGCATCAGTTGACCCCTCCTTAGTCTCAATAAAGTGAGAAGCAGGTTGTTGATACAGACTGTCTGCTCATTCTGAGTCTGTTGTCTATTTCTCTTCCCAAAGGCTGATGAGGAAGGACTGGCACTAAGAATCTTTTAATGTAATTTAATTTTTTAAAAAGTCAGGGTCTCAGCCGGGCTTGGTGGCTCAGCCTGTAATCCTGCACCTTGGAAGGCTGAGGTGAGTGAATGGCCTGAGCCCGCGGGTTGGAGATCCGCCTGGGCAACTTGGTGAGACCTCATCTCTACAATAAATTTTTTAAAAATTAGCTGGGCATGGTAGCGTGCGCCTGTAGTTCCAGCTACTTGGAAGGCTGAGGCAGAAGGATTGCCGGAGTCCAGCAGGTCGAGGCTGCGGTGGCCGGGAGCGGCCACTGCACTCCAGTCTGGGCGACAGAGTGAGACTCCAACTCACAAGAAGAAATTAAATAAATAAATAAAAGTCAGGGTTTCGCTCTGTCATCCAGGCTGGAGTGCCGTAGTGCCATTTTGGCTCACTGCAGCCTCAAACTCCTGGGCTCAAGCAGTTCACCTGCCTCAGCCTCCCATGTAGCCTGGGACTACAAATGCATGCCACCATACCTGGCTATCTTTGTAGAGATGGGAGTCTCACTATGTTGCCCAGACTAGTCTTGAACTCCTGGCCTCAAGCGATCTTCCCACCTAGGCCTCCCAAAGTGCTGAGTTTGCAGGCATGAGCAATCACTGAATCTTTTAATTATAGTATACAAAGGAGAATGGGCCTAATTGAAGTAAAGAACATGAAAGTTATTCAAAAAGGTATAACATTGTCTCCTACAGAGAAATCCTAGATTCAATGCTAGCTTTTTTCCCAATGGCTATATGACAAAGAATGCCATAGTAAACTGTCTTGTAAAAATAGTACCAAGTAAGTATCTTTTTTTTTTTTTTTTTTTGAGTTGGAGTCTCACTCTGTCACCCAAACTGGAGTGCAGTGGCCGCTCCCGGCCACCGCAGCCTCGACCTGCTGGGCTCCGGCGATCCTTCCGCCTCAGCCTTCCGAGTAGCTGGAATTATAGGCGCGCGCTACCACGCCCGGCTGATTTTTTGATTTATTGTAGAGATGAGGTCCCGCTGCCCAGGCAGGTCTCGAACCCGCGGGCTCAGGCAATCCACTCACCTCAGCCTCCCAAAGGCACGGGATTACAGGCTGAGCCACCGAGCCCGGCTGTAAGTATCTTTTAAATTTCTTTTTAAAAGTTATATAGTGCGAGATTAAGCCCTTTATTTAGTGTATGTGCTAAAGCATTTATTTTAAACCTGAGGTATGTATTATAGTATATAATATAAAAATCAAATAACCCATGTTCATTTTTACCTGTCTTTCCACATGGATCTGCTTTAATAGTAAAGTGAATAACATCAGTTTATTCTAGAAAAAATTTAAACTAATGTAGTATAAAATATTAACAGATCACATCAGAAGTTATTTCGCTATTGCCTTTATCGCTCATGTGCCAGGAACTTCCTAACCTTAGAAGATGGTCTTGAGAGAAGTAGAAAGGGAAAGGTGCCGTAGGGAAGTATGTAGAATCCAGTAGTACCTTTAAGGCTGAAGTGAAGTAATTGCCAGAGGTAAACTACCAGTCTGGAGAGGAAAAAAATTTATGCCCAGAGCATCGCCATCTCAAGTTAGTGGCTGCGTACAAGACTGAAATAAAATAGAAAAAGCAAAGTTGATGGGATGATAATCAGCATTTGGTAAACATGGCATTTCATACCATTGGGTCTGTAAAATGAGATCACAAATGTGAGAACCTGAAATGCAGGTGGGCAATTGTCCAAGGTCAATTAGAGAGTTGAGAGTAGAATTCAGATTTCCTAACTTCTGGTCCAAGTGTTTTGGGTTAGCTTTTTTTTTTTAATTTTAGAAATTGTGAAAAAATACACAAAATATGAAATTTTCCATCTTAACCATTTTAAGTATGCAGTTCAATAGTGTTAAATATATTCACATTGTTGCACAATCTCCAGAACTCTTTTTGTTTTGCAAAATCGAAATCTATGTCCATTAAACAACAATTCCCCATTCCCCCTTTTCCCAGTCCCCAGCAACTACCCTTCTACTTTTCATCTCTGTAAATTTGACTACTCTAGGTAGGTATCTGGTCCAGTGTTGTTTTTTTAAACTCATGGCAGCATTATATACAAAAGTAATGTCTACATTACTTGATTGTTTTCTTCTTTTTGGGACATAAGTACATCATTCTGACTTTTTTTGGTGTTGATGCTTTCATGTAGTATAAATCATCTTATAGAGCCATCTCTTATGTTGTTTCCTCTGCCATGAAAGCCTTTTCCCCTGTCTGTATTCCTAGACGACTCCCTTAATTCGTTTTGTGAACTCATCCTTCAAGGATTAGCTCAGAAGTTACTTCTTTCAGGTTTCCGTCAGTATCCACAGCAGAATTAGAGCTCCTTCTTGTCTCCTGGTGCTGGTAGACCTTTTTTTTTTTGAGTTGGAGTCTTACTCTGTCGCCCAGACTGGAGTGCAGTGGCCGCTCCCGGCCACCGCAGCCTCGACCTGCTGTGCTCAACCTGCTGGGCTCCGGCGATCCTTCCACCTCAGCCTTACAAGTAGCCAGAATTACAGGCATGCGCTACCACGCCCGGCTGATTTTTTGATTTATTGTAGAGATGAGGTCTCGCTGCCCAGGCGGATCTCGAACTCGCGGGCTCAGGCAATCCACTCACCTCAACCTCCCAAAGCATGGGATTACAGGCTGAGCCACCGAGCCCGGCTGAACATTTTAAAATATATTTTTTGGAACTATTTTCTTTTCTTTTTTTTTTTTTTTTGAGTTGGAGTCTCACTCTGTTGCCCAGACTGGAAGCGCAGTGGCCGCTCCCGGCCACCGCAGCCTCAACCTGCTGGGCTCCGGCGATCCTTCCACCTCAGCCTTTCAAGTAGCCAGAATTACAGGCACGCGCTACCATGCCCGGCTGATTTTTTGATTTATTGTAGAGATGAGGTCTCGCTGCCCAGTCGGGTCTCGAACCCGCGGGCTCAGGCAATCCACTCACCTCAGCCTCCCAAAGCATGGGATTACAGGCTGAGCCACCGAGCCCAGTTTAAAACTATTTTCTTTTCTGTCCTGGCCATTAGACCAAGCTTCTTGAGGGTAGGTGCTTTATCTTCTTTGATGTGCTCCATGTTTGAGCCTGTGGTTTTTATTAATGCCCAGGAGGTGGCTTTCTAAGAAGAGGTTAAATAACCCATTCTTCCACCCCGTAGCCAGAGAAGACTTTCTGAAGCATAGATGTGATCATGTCTCTCTCTTGTCTAAAACCCTTCACTGGCTTCCAGGCCACTCAGGGTCAAGTCCAAAACTCCTTTACATGGCTTGCCAAATCTATTATGATCAAGCTGCCGTCTGGAGCCTCATCTCATGCTATTTTCTCCTCAGATTCTATGCCCAAGCTTTACCTATTACTTGCAAGCCATGTTCTATCTCCCCTTGGAAGTTGTTTGTGCCATTTCCTCTTCTAAGAACACTCTTCTCCCACTGCCTCAATCCCCCAAGGCCTCCTCCTTCTCCTGGTTAACTACTAACATCCTTTAAGACTCAGTTTAGGTATCGTTTCCTCCAGGAGGCCTTCCTTTATGCATGCGTGTGTGCACACACCCTTCCTGTGCTCTTCATAACACTGGAATTCCCTTTGTCATCATACCATATTATAATTTCCTGTTTACTTGTGGTTTTTACTTGTCTACGAACTGTTGGGAACCTGAGGTCTATATATTTGTTCATTGTATCCCTAGTGCCTAGAACCTAGTTAAGTGTTCATTTTGTTGAATAAAATCAAACTTATGTCCCAAATATGTTTTCAGAATAGTGTTCCACAGGATGTTAAAAGGAATGCCATGAAAAGGGAGCCCTATAGTTCAATAGGGAAATGCATTGTACATTTCTACAGGGCAACATACGCTATACTGTACTGCACTGTACTGGATGGCAGTGGTTCCCAAATACCAGTATGCCCAATCCCAAAAAGTAAATGGGGCCCAGATATCTGTTGTTTAGAAAGTGCCTCAGATTATTCTCATGTGAATCCAGATTTGGATTATGAGGCCAGACTGGTATAGGTATACAGTGATTATAAAGATAGTTAAAATATGTCATGCATTTAGAATAGTACATACCTAGCACATAGTATTTATGCTGTATTATCGTTAAATGCTGCTGCTGTTGTTATTATAGTTATATGTGAACATGAAATGCATTTTTATGGCATATTTGTTAACATTTCACAAAACTGATTTTGAGAAAGGCTGAATTAAGTAAGTACTTCAGTACCATCTATATTCTGACAATTTCCAAGTCTCTAGTCCTGACTTCTGTCCTCAAGATTTGTCCTTCCAATTGCCTACTGTATATTTCTGTATGGATATCCTGCAACATCTCAAAAATATCTGACCATGTCAAACCTGTACCTCCTTTTACATTTCCTATTGACATCACCATATCCTCATCAGCCAAGCTGGCAGTCTTGAAGCCAACCTTAGTTCCTCTTTCTTCCTCAGCCCTCAGATCTAGTCCATCACCAAATCCTACCTGTTCCACTTCGGAAGTGTTCCTCAAATCCATCCCTCTGTTTCTGGAATCAGTCATGCCCTTTCCATATGCTACTTCTTTTTTTTGTTTTTTTGAGTTGGAGTCTCACTCTGTCGCCCAGACTGGAGTACAGTGGCCACTGGCCACCGCAGCCTCGACCTGCTGGGCTCCGGCGATCCTTCCGCCTCAGCCTTCCAAGTAACTGGAACTACAGGCACGTGCCACCACGCCCGGCTAATTTTTGATTTATTGTAGAGATGAGTTCTCGCCAAATTGCCCGGGCGGGTCTCGAACCCGCAGACGCAGGCAATCCACTCACCTCAGCCTCCCAAAGCACGGTGTTACAGGCTGAGCCTCTGAGCCCAGCTCCCATATGCTACTTCTTTTGCCTAACCTTTGCTTTTCTGCCTGGCAAATTGCTGCCCATGCTTAGATGTCATTCTTCCACTTCACTCCTCCCCTCCCCAGCTGCTGCCAACCCGGAAGCCTTCTCCAACTAGCCTGAACAAAATAACTTGTTCTCTCATCTTGTCCCAGAGCGCTTTGTACGTAACTTTATTATAGCACTTATCACTTTGTACTTTGTGCTTACCTCTGTAGCCTCATCTTACATCCTCTCTCACTAGTGTGCGAGCTATTTAAGACCAAATGCCATGTATGAATCATCCTCTCCCAGCACCTGTTGAGTGCCTGGCACGTAGTAGGGGCTCCATAAATGTTTCATTGAATTTGAACAGCTAAGGAGAAAGTCTAAAACTTGCATAATTGTTTTCTCTTTGTGCAGAGATTAGTACTGAAGAACAGCTGCGGCGACTGCAAGAGGAAAAGCTTTGCAAAATCTGTATGGATAGAAATATTGCTGTAGTTTTTATTCCTTGTGGACATCTGGTCACTTGTAAACAATGTGCTGAAGCAGTTGACAAATGTCCCATGTGCTACACAGTCATTACTTTCAAGCAAAAGATTTTTATGTCTTAGTCTAACTCTATAGTAGGCGTGTTCTTCTTATTACCCTGATTGAATGTGTGATATGAATGGGCTTTAAGTAATCAGCATTGAGTTCCAATAGCATTTGCTACCAAGTAGGAAAAAAATGTAAATGGCAGTGGCGATCTAAACTTATTTGGCAATCTAAACTTTGAATTTCTGGATTGTTTTCAGGGTATTAGCTGTATTATTTATCCTTTTTTTCCTTACTGTTATTTAATTGAAGCCCTAGTCTAAGAAGCATCATATTATAAAACTGATCACAATGTGTATTGGTAATATACTGACTTAGTTTCTAAGTATAAGCGAATTAATCATCTGAATTTTTCATTCTTTTCAGATAGGCTTAACAAATGGAGCATTCTGTATAAACGTGGAGATTAGTGTTAATCTCCCCAATCATATACTTTGTTTTGTGTGAAAAAGGAATGAACTATTCCACACTGTTGGAAAGATAGAGATTACTTTTAGATGTTTGTCCTCATGTTTTAGAAGTCTGTCCATTTTCTTTTAAAATTTCAACGTGTACTTGTGTGATTTTTAAAAAGTTATTTTGCCATTTTTAAAAAGGTATTTAATGATAGAATACCATCTAGCCAACATGTACTGACGTGAAAAGATGACAAAGATATATTAAGTGTAAAATGCAAGTGGCAAAACTGTGTATAGTATAAACCAAATCAAGGTATGTGTGTTGTGCATATCTATAGAACAAAAGATGTGGAGATATATGCATCAAACTGTTAAATGTGGTTTCTCTTGGGAGGGGGTGGGGGGACAGGTCCCAGAGGAGGTTTACAGGGGCCTTTCACTTTCTATTTTTTTCATTTTGTTCTGTTCGAATTTTTATAAGTATGTATTACTTTTGTAATCAGAGTTTTTAGAAAGTATTTTACTGATTTAAAGGCTTAGGCATGTTCAAGCGCCTGCAAAACTACTTATCGCTCAGCTTTAGTTTTTCTAATCCAAGAAGGCAGGGCAGTTAACCTTTTTGGTGCCAGTGTGAAATTTAAATGTTTTTATGTTTCTCCTGCTTTGTGGATGAAAAATATTTCTGAGTGGTAGTTTTCTGACAGGTAGACCATGTCTTCTTATCTTGTTTCAAAATAAATATTTCTGATTTTGTAAAATGAAATATAAAATATGTCTCAGATCTTCCAATTAATTAGTAAGGATTCATCCTTAATCCTTGCTAGTTTAAGCCTGCCTAAGTCACTTTACTAAAAGATCTTTGTTAACCCAGTATTTTAAACATCTGTCAGCTTACGTAGGTAAAAGTAGAAGCATGTTTGTATACTGCTTGTAGTTATAGTGACAGCTTTCCATGTCGAGATTCACATATCATCTTGTATCTTAAAGTTTTGTGTGAGTTTTTACTGTTAGGATGACTAAGATGTATATAGAACAAAATGTTAAGTCTTTATCTAAATTTACTTTCTTGACTAGCGATAGTAGTAGATACTTCTGAAATAAATGTTCTCTCAAGCTCCTAAAAACCTCTTGGAAATTATAAAATGTTAAACTCTTGAATGAGTCAATAAGGGTAAAAACTGGAAGTTTAAAAATGCTTCATAGAATATCTAGGGTTTACATTACTAGAGTCTCACAGAAAAATCTATTGTAGAGGTGAGTGAAGCATGTTACTTCAGAAAAAAAGTTTGAGAGTGAAACTGTTAAAAATTATATTTTGTTGTATTTTCTAAGAGAAATAGTACTGTTATGTTCTCCTAACCTCTGTTGATTACTACTCTAAGTGAGATTCATTTAAAGCATCACAAATTTCAATGAGAGTTTTAAAATTAAATAATCACTGTACTGTTTCTGTTTTATCATATAAATCTTCAGTTCTTCACCTTTGTACTGTCTTCTTCCACTTAGGTTTGGTTCTATAGTTATTAAGTTGAATTTGACTTGTACAGTCTAAGCTTTAAGCATTGTACATGGGCAGAAAAGTGTTAAAATTTTTTAAAATATATTTTCCAGGACACTTCAGCTCTAAATCAGGTAGATAGTTCAATCTAGTTTTTAGCCAAGGACTCAAGGGCTGAATTGTTTTAACATAAGGCTTTTCTTGTTCTGGGGCCTCAGTTCATTAAAATTCTTCTTTTAAAACTTACCTGTTTAGAGTTAAGCAAGACTTTTTTTTCTCTCTCTCCATGAGCTGTGAAATTTAATGCATGAAGCTGATGTGACTAACAAGTTTATTTTAAGAATTGTTTAGAAATGCTGTTGCTTCAAGGTTCCTAAAATCACTCAGCACTCCAACTTCTAATCAGATTTCTTGGAGACTTACCCAGTGTTCATCTGTGTTCCCACTATAAAGAGCACTGGATTCTTTCCATCTAATTGTGCAAAATTTGATCATTTGTAAGGTCAAAACTATAACCAGATCCAAATCTTTGTCCCCTCCCAATAGCTCTCAGTATCTACATGTAGACATTTCTTTTTTGTAAAAAGTACACTCTAGGATTTGAAGTCACCTCCTATTTTACTACATTTTAGTCATGCAAAGATACAAGTCGTTTTGTAATAAATACTTACCTTTATTTGTAATAATTTAGTGTGCTGATCAAAAGCATTGTCTTGATTTTTGAGAAATGAGTTTAGCGTTTATAAAGTAAATTTCAGCTTAATACTTAATGTCTTCGTGTTGCCTTTCCTGCTAGATTTGGTTTGTCCCCCCTCCCTTTCATCAGTGGCTGAGGTAGGGTAGGGGGGTGTAGTGGGTGTATATAATGTGATGTAGCCCTGTGTATTAAGATATTTTGTTATAGGCCAGGCGCGGTAGCTCACGCCTATGATCCCAGCACTTTGGGAGGCCAAGGTGAGAGGATTGCCGGAGCCCACACGTTCAAGACCAGCCTGGGCTACTTGGTGAGACCTCATCTCTACAATAAATTAAAAAATTAGCCGGGCGTGGTGGCGCGTGCCTGTAGTTCCAGCTACTTGGAAGGCTGAGGTGGAAGGATTACCTGAGGCCAGCAGGTTGAGGCTGCGGTGGCTGGGAGTGTGCTACTGCCCTCTAGCCTGGGTGACAGAGTGAAACTCCTACTCAAAAAAAAAAAAAAAAAAAAACAGATATTTTGTTGTTGTATTATTTAAATTTCAGTCGTTTCTGTTTTCGTTTTAGTGGATAACATTTTTATTTTTAACTCTGAATGGAGACTGCCACCCCAGCATTGGTTGCGTCTGTTGCACCCTTTAGACCCAAATCATGGTTTTATTTCCTGATTACTCAGGTGTTGAATGGGGAAGAGGGTCGAGGGGTGGGAGAAATGGGATAGGTTGTGTATCATTGCCATTAGAGAAATAAGAAAATGGAGCCAAGGGAAGTGGCTTATGCTTGTAATCCCATCATTTGGGGAGTCCAAGGTAGGAGGATCCCTTGAGCCTAGGAGTTCAAGGTTGTAGTGAGCTATGATCACGCCACTGCACTCCAGCCTGGGCAGCAGAATGAGACCCTGAATATCTTTTTAAAAAGAAGAGAATGGGAAAGAAATATTTGGCATAGTTCTTTTTAGACAAATCTGCTTTCTTTTCTTTTCTTCTTTTTTTTTTTTGAGTTGGAGTCTCACTCTCGCCCAGACTGGAGTGCAGTGGCGGGTCCCGGGCACCCCACCTTCTAGATGCTGGAGGCCGAAGGGATTTCCCTGAATTCCTTCCAATTGGAGGGAACGATGGGTGAGATGGACATAGTTGATCTGAGTGTTTGAGTTAGTGAAAAAAGGATGTCTCTCCAATGTAACTCTGTTTTTTAAAATTAAAAAAAGGTATCAATTTCATCTGTGAAAGGAGAATAATATCTGTCTTACCACGCTATGAGAGTCCAAGGAGACCATATATGTAAAGCTCCTGTTATAAATGTTAATTCTCATCCTAATACCCTTTTACACCTCCATGGGTTTGCCTTGACCTAGAAATTTGGGCTAAAACTTAGAAAAAATTCTTACATGATAATGCTTTCAGTGACTATTACTCATCATTTTGGTGTTTCTCATAGTTAACATGTAAATTACCATACATAAATAGATCAAATCCCTACAAATATTTAAATTACCTTTTTAGTTGAAAAAGTAATTCTGGCTGGACGTGGTGACGCATGCCTGTAATCCCAGCACTTTGGGAGGCAAAGGTGAGAGGATTGCCTGAGCCCAGGGGTTTGAGACCAGCCTGGACAACTTGGTGAGACCTCGTCTCTACAATAAATCAAAAAATCAGCCAGGCGTGGTGGCACATACCTGTAGTTCCAGCTACTTGGAAGGCTGAGGTGGAAGGATCACCTGAGCCCAGCAGATAGAGACTACAGTGGCCATGAGCATGCCACTGCACTCCAGCCTGGGTGACAGTGTGAAACTGTGACTCAAAAAAAAAAAAAAAAGTTATTCTCAAATTTAGTTGAGCTTTCCTAAAAGAAACAATTTGCTTTTCCCCACAATGATCATTTTCAACTTGACTCTTAGACACTTAACACAATATGAAAGCTGGACACAGTGTCTCACGCCTGTAATCCTAGCACTTTGGAAGGCAGAGGCCAGAGGATTGCCTGAGCCCAGGGGTTGAAGTTCAACCTGGGCAACTTGGCGAAACCTCGTCTCTAAAATAAATTTTAAAAACTAGCTGAGCATGGTGGTGAACACCTGTAATTCCAGCTACTTGGAAGACAGGCAGAAGGATTGCCTGAGCCCAGCAGGTCAAGGCTGCGGTGGCTGTGAGCGTGCCACTGCACTCCAGCCTGGGCGACAGAGTACGACTCCAACTCGAAAAAAAAAAAAATACAATGTGAGTATTTTTTGGTATAATAGAATCATAGAGTGTCAGAGCTAGAAGTGACCTTAGAGAGTATCTAATTTATCCCCCTCATTTTACAGGTGAGGCAACTAAGGCTCAAAGATGAGGCAATTTATTCAAAGATATATAGCTAACTAGTGGCAGTTCCCTGACTGGAAACATTGTTCAAAGGTGAAAAACTTCACCAAGCTACCTCTCTTGGAAGGTCTCAAATGTTTATTTTTTCAACTATTCTTTCCATTATGCCATAACTTTCACTACATATTAAATGACACTTTATAATTAATATAATAGGACAATCTGAAGAACATATACAGTTGGCCCTTTGTATCTACAGGTTTCATTTCCATGGATTCAGCCAACCAGGGGTTGAAAATATTTGAGAAAAAATACAATAATAAAAATGATGCAAGTAAGAACAATGCAGTATAACAAATATTTATATAGCATTTACATTGTATTAGGTATTATAAGTAGGCTAGAGATGATTTAAAGTATATAGGAGAATGTGCATAGGATATATGCAAATACTATGCCATTTTATCTAAGGAATTTGAGTATCTGAGGATCCTTGAGTTTCCTGGAACCAACCCCTCATGGATAGCAATGGACAACTGTATCTTCTAATTGGACAATGCTATATTAATGTTTGGGTGGTAAGATTCTATTTTGAGG